TGTCCAGGGCACTTGGGAAGTGGGAAATGCCAGGGCTGAGTGTGGGGAGTTGCTGAAGGCTCGGCTGAAGGCTCAGATTGCCATGGCATTTGTCTCTCAAAGTATTCGGCTTTGTGAAAAAGAATGGTAATTCACTATGCATTTTTGGTCAGTCTTAATCTAATTAGAAGCCTCTTNCAGGGCTGAGTGTGGGGAGTTGCTGAAGGCGAGGCTGAAGGCTCAGATTGCCATGGCATTTGTCTCACAAAGTATTCGGCTTTGTGAAAAAGAAGAATGGTAATTCACTATGCATTTTTGGTCAGTCTTAATCTAATTAGAAGGCTCTTTATTTCCTTGTGTAGCACACTGCTGAGAGTGGCAGACAGTCCCAGGTACTCGGGGTGAGCATGGATGTGTCACTGCCTCTTAGCTCGTGACAGCAAACAGCCAAACGCTGTGGACCTGCACCCTTCTGCCCTCCCAGGGCATTGACACCAGCATGGATGGCTGCCACCACCTGCCTGCACAGAGCCTGGGCTGTGGGCATGTGCTCCAGCTCCCGGGGCAGGGAAGGAGCCTGTGGAGAATTAAATGAGGATGTAAATGTGCTGGGGGTAAAAATCCCGTTCCTTTTGTCCAGCTGCTGATGCAGGTACAAGCAAACAGAGGCACAGCCGGCCCTGCTGGAAGTCCAGCAGCGACAGCAGCCCCCGGGCCTGATCACTCCTCCCTCGCTCCCCGCTCCCCAGCAATTGCAGGAGACAACATCCCCCAACATTGGTATTTTGTGCCAACACCCTGGTTTTGACCCCTCCCTGGAGAACAGTGTGAAACCATAGGAGGACAATTAGCAGGGGGTCTAAGACACTCCTGGAACCTGATCAGAGGTTGGAGATGGCAAAACATGGATAAAATTCATGCTAATTGTACCCATTTTCCTATGAACTAGCAATGAAACAGGAACCCGCACAGTGGGTGATGTTGGCAGGTGCCTCTGGAGATCACCTGCTCTGGTCTCTGCTCAGGATGCCCAGAGCAGGGAGCTCAGCACTGTGCCTGGTTGGCTTTGGAATATGTCCGAGGATGGAGACTGTTTAGCCTCTCCAGACAACCTGGGCCAGCGTCTGACCCCCGAAAAAGGGGGTTTGGTATGCTTAACTGGAATTTTCTGTACTGCAGTTTGGGGGTGTTCCTCTTTGAAGGAGGGTTGAAGAAAAAAGTACAGAGCACTAGGGATGAAGTGCAACATGAGCATCAGGGGTGAAGCAGGGAAGTGAAACATTTCATCCTTGCTCAGGCATTAATTTTTTCTGTTTCATCCGAAGGCATGGATTTTATTTTGGGAAGTGTGTCACAGCTGATGCGATCCATAATGGATCCATTAGGGGCATCTCTGAACATGCACTTTTCCCACATATAAAAATATACCTGAAATTTTGAAAGATGGAATACTCATTTGCCAATTTAAAAAGAAAATGGAGAGAATGAGAGAGAAAGGCTCGTGGAGTTGTAAATCTTCACAGAAAACCAGTGGAGAAGCACATGTACGTTTAGAATGATGTTGACATTTCTGAAATCAGAGATATGGTGTTTTATCTAAATTACACCAAAGCCCTTCAAGATAATGTGCTGTGTAATGGCTGCAGTTGTAGGCACTATTTCATTTTCAATTTTCTGTACAAAAAGCATGATTCTTATCCACAGTTCCAGCTCAGTGTTTGACAAATTATTAGCATATACTGCCCAGCTGCACCTAGTGTAGGGAGAGCTGTACTTGAGGGGAAGAGGCTACATTTCCCCCCTGCCCTGCACTGGCTTTGCCAGCATTCCATGTTATCCAGAGAGGAGGCAGAGGGGGTAAAGCTCAGGACTGGGGAGTGGTGAGTGCCTCCTCCTCCTCTTGTGTGCACTCCTACTTGAACCTCAGGCTTGGTGCAAGCCCTGTGTCCCTCCTGGTGTGTCCTGGGGCTCAGGGGGACCCCCAGACCTGCCGAGCACTGCAGTGACCCCAGGGATTTGGACCCACATCCTGCACGGGCAGGTCATGCTGCTTTGAAGGGTCGTGAAGCACCGCAGAGCAGCAGATAAGTCTGGACTGATGGGAGAAGGCCCTCAAGAGCTACTCAAGAGCCTCTGGAAGAGTTGCTTTGGTGTTTAAAAGTGGGTCCTGACACATGCCCCTGTGCCCCCCGTGCCAGCTGCTCCCTCTGTGGCTCTGGCTGCGAGTGCTCCCATGTGAGGCGTGTGCTGGGCTCACCTTACAGGGCTGTTTGCTTCTCTGTGGCAGCTGAAGAGGTATAAATCCTTTTGGGCACCTGCTTGGCATCAGTGTGGTGCCGCTGGCACAGCCTTGTCTTTTCCTGGAAGCAAAGCACCGTGAGCTCTGGAGAGCAGGATACAAGTGAACCTCTCCTGGATCCTCAGGGTGGCAGGAGGTCCCTGTAATTCTGGCCAGCTCCTGGTGCCCAGGGGTGTGAGAGGTGAAATAACTACCCATCTTTGGGGAGCCTCCTGCTTTCTTGTGCGTATCCAAGGGAACCAGCATGTGCTGGAGCAGGATACCCTTGGAGAGGCAACGAGACAGTCTGACCCCCCCAAGTCCCTTGGCCCGATGCTCTTGTTTCCAGCACTGCTTGACCAAGATTCTAGAAAAGTTTAGCCACGTGGGGAAGTCCTTTCCCAGTTTTGTGTGTCACAGGGCATGTCTGCAGGCGTGCTCCATGCCAGTGGTGCTGAGTACAGGAGCCTGGAGTCGGGAATTCTGTTTAATTCCCGTGCAAAGAGCAAGCTGCCCTGACAGAGCTGGAAAGGGTCTGCAGATAAGTTCGATGGTAGATGCCATGGGCTTATCTAAAAGGCAGGATTCCCACTCCCATCCCTGGCTGTGATGGAATGGAGAGCCTGCTCCCTCTGCAGGGAGCTCCGGCTTCCACTGCATGGATTTGTCCTCAGTGTTAGAGGGAGGAAAACTCCTTTCTCCTCTGAGAAGTCTCTTTTGAGATACCAATGGATAAAATCTGGAGAGATGTTATTTTTTGCACACATGCTTCCAGGTCAGTGGTCCTCAGCAGAGCGTGGGATGGAGGTGGAGCCCCAGCCACTCCCAGCTGGGATCTGCGGGGCGGGAGCCGGAGATGGCAGCACACCTTGTCCTCAGCTGGGCCAGGAGGGTTTTCATGACACCCAAACAGCACCAAATACAAATGAAACTCTGCTAGGGAATTAAATTAGAGGAAGAGGAATAGTTTCCTTGGCAAGCCTAGAGTAATGCTGGCAGCACTCGGACTGGTTGCTAAGTGAGGGTTGCAAGGAAAGGGGAGCAGTGGCTGTGATTGTTGTTGCTGCCTTAATAAATATATGCATTAAAGGCAATAAACCCATACTTTTAAACTGTGCAGGATGTGTGTTTGGAAACAGAGTAAGGGAACCAAGGTCAGAAGAGCCTTGGGATGCATCTCAGAGGTAATCTGTCTGTGGTTAAAATAAATGTCTTTGTTTCAGCTGGTCACTAGGAATGAATATATATAAGTATCTAAAAATGTGCCAAGGGTTTCTGAGCAAGGTTTGACTGGGTCCCTGTGCCCTGGCAATGGCAGCACAGCATCAGGAGGGGGGAACTGGTGTAAGGAACAGCTCATTGCTGGCTTACAGGCAGTGGAAGGGAAATGCTTTCATTAATTCTTTCCTGATCCAGGTTCCCCCAGGATGGAGGCAGAGCTTCCCTTGGACTGCAGCAGGTGTGGGAGTGAGCCCTGCAAATGGCCTGCTGGAGGGGACAGAAGGAAAGGGGAATTGCAGTGTTTTGGTCCTAGTTATGAATGATTGATGGTATTTATTTGTCTTCACCAAATGTTCCCCAGCTCACTGGAGTTTGCTCTTTTATACACATCCACCCAGTTTTAGGGATAGTCCATGCTCAAACATATCTGTCTGCTCAGTAAGAGGGACTGTGCTTAAATCCAGTGAAGAATCAGATGCCAGAAGATCTTCAGAGAGGAGCTGGGGGTGTTTAAGCTTCATCCATCATTGCAGCATCACAAAAGTAGAAAATGCAGGGGGAGAATCTCTGGGGAAAAAATAAACCTGAGGTTTGAGTCTGTCAGGTCCTAGCCTTACACATGGCCTGAGGGTTGGTTTGAAATAGTTTGATTTTGACATGCAGCAAAGAACTTTGTGTTTTGGATTCCAGTAGGACAGTGAGATCACAGTTGGACATAACAGGGTACGTTAATATTCTCATTTGCCTCCTAAAGAAACCAACCTGGACAAAGCCAGACTCTCGTGTCTCAGAGTTCTGTAGGACACTTCTTTGGAGGGTTTGTGCCATTCTGGATAACCAAAATGATTAAGGCACACAGAGAACTTGCAAAGTAAGATCTCTCTGGGTCATTAGGCCAGACACTTGTGCAGCCAGAAGGGCTACGAAAATGGCCTGTGGTTTAAACATGATACTCTTAACTCCCTGCTATAGCTGGTACCCCTGTAGAACACTGTAATTTGATTTACTATTTGGTTTTCTGTCCTACAGTTGTTGGCAGCTTCCATACAGATCCCTTGTTTTAATGTTTATTTGCATGTTTAATTACTCTATAATAGCACAATAATTACCATGTAGCTACAGAGGAATTACATGGTTGTCTGTAGTCTGTAAACCAGTGTCAACCTCCTCTGCAAACAAATAATTATGCAGCTAACATACCTGTTTAACTTCCACAGGAATTAGCAGAGGAACAGGAGAAATGTGAAACATGCAGTTGCTGGGTTTGTCATTAAATATTTATAATTGTTTTATAAGTAGTGTGCAAAATTCTTTAGTTCCTTGATTTCTTTTCCTACCATAACGTTAGACAATACGATCTGGAACCAGGGAAAATACTGCTGTGGAATTAAAGCTGCTAAAGCCGGGCTCTGTAACCACAGGCAGTGTTACTTCAGTGTTACATTCGTCCTGCAGCTGCAGGTTGTGGTCAAACAAATGAAAGTGTTTCCGAACAACTTCCCATGTGCTCTGTCTGCAGCTGTGAATCCTGGGAGCTCTCCTGGAAGCGGGAGGGAAGCCACGAGGTGGCAGTGTGCCCCAGGAAATGGAGCGCTGCCACCTGCCCGGCGCTCCGGAGAGCAGGAATTCAGCCCGGAGATCCGGCTGGGGACACTTGGCCTCTTACGGGAGCTGAGGTAGGATTCCAAGCACCTTTTCCCTTTTAAGAGTGTCAGTTTGTTTTTCCAAGGCTAAAGAAAAAGCCGTAGGGGTGAACATCTCCACCTACTGCATTGTTTCATGCCAGTGAATTCCTTCAGTGTTTGCTTCAGCTTCAAACGCTCCCTGTGGATTATTTGGAAAACTTGTTGCCTTGTGTTTCCCCTTTCCTCCCAGGGGATCTGCTTCCCCACAGCCGGTTTCTGTACATCCAGTGTTGCTGGTGCTCAAGGTACGAGAGATGGAAGGAGCATTCCAGATTCTGACCCAGCAACCCCTCTCCTCCCCTTTGCCTGGCTTGGGGTGGGGAACGTTTCCAGACCATGATCAAGGAAGGACTGTGTTTCTTGGGTACAGCAGGACCTACTGATGTGCTGTCCAAGCAGTAATGTACTGGTGATGGAGACAAACTGGTTTTATCCAGTATAAATCAAGTGGCAGGTCTGGATTATCCCCAGGGATGCTGGGAAACAAAATCCTGCACAGTTCTTCCTCCAGAAGGGTGCTGAGTTTGTTTCCAGCTGTGTTGCTTTGGGGAGGGCAAAATGGGCTAATTTCAGGGTAGCTCTGGGTTCTCCTGGCACTGCAGGACTGGTGTGTGCCCGGCTGTGCCTGCTGCTGCACCTGGCACAGGAGAGGGCTGTGCGAGGCAGGGCATCCTGGTGGGATCCTGGCGGGGTGTCGGAGCAGCCTCTGGCCTTCCCCTGCATTGGCTGTGGCCTGAGGAACACCACCCACAAACCACTGCTGTCAGGTCTGCCACAGCAGACCTAGTTCATACTCAGCCTCATTTCTCTGAGGGAAGGAGGATACTTGGCTCCCTGCTTTTTTTATGAAGTCAGCCCATTTATTTGCTCTTCAGAAAGCCTCTTTACAGCCCCTTCAGGACCAGTGGCGTGTGGCTCTGGGATGGGAGGCAGCTCCAGGGCTGAGTGCTGTGCCAGGACAGCTCTCCAGCAGCGGGGATGTCTGCAGTCCGACTCTGCAAATCCCCATCTGGGGGAGACAGCAGCAGAATTCAGAGTTTGACTGTTACCCAGCCCAGCCTAAAGCATTAAGACATGTTGGTGCAGTGCAAGGGGAATGTTAATCTGGCAGAACAAATGCTGTGAGTTATTGTGTGTTTGCTAATCTGGGGGCTGCCGATTCCCCCCAGAACGTCTCCCAGGCTCTTTGGCCAGGAGAAGCCCTGGCTGTACTGCCTCTGGGCACCAGGTGGCATCACGACGGAGCGCTGGGAGCTGGCAGGGAGCACAGGCAGGATGAAGCTTGGCTTTGAGTTTTTCTGGGCATGGTTCCAGGCAATAATATCTTTTCCTAGCAGTTGTGAAGGATCTGAACTTTGGTTCGCATGAGAAGCTTAAAAAAGCAACTGTTTAAAAACTCGAGTCCCTCCTCTGTCCTGCCTGGTGCTCGAGGCAGTGCAAGGCTTCCGAGCGGGCACGGGCTGGGCATGGGAGCCCACCAGCTCCCTGAACCTGCTGGGCCTGCTGTGGGGCTGGGGCTCTCCCAAATGGACCTGGAGCTGGGGTCACTGCCTGCCCACTGACAGCATGAGGCAAGCAGGGCTCTAAGGACATCACGGTCCGTCCTGGCCTCAAGGAGAGCAGGAGCAAACACCTCGGAGCAGCACTGAGCACCGTTTGTACCCAGCTCTGGGCAGTGCTGCAGAGCCTCGTGGCACATCTCCCATGGCCACCTCTGGCCACCTTCTGCGGGTGGTTCTGCCCCTCTGACCATTCTGCCGTGTTTTCCAAAATGTATTGGTTCTTTTGCTGTTTGAGGATTTGTATGTGCAGTTGCAAAGCTTTGAAATGCACGGTGGTGTCCCTCAGAAAGCATTCAAGTGTGAGGGTTTTTTTCTGTGGAACAAGTCATCCCTTTAATTCTGGCTCTCTAGAAATGACATTAGTGCAAAGCGAGGATGTTCCTGCACAGCCCCTCGGAGGGGCAGGTAGAGAGGAGAAGTTGCACACTGCCAAGGTACCCCTGAGCTTTCAGCCACTTGATTTGAAACAAATGGTTTTCCTGTGGATTGATAAGGACTCGGTTCAGCACAGGAACAAACAGCAAAGCTGATGTTCTCTCACACACAGTTGTGTCCCTCGAGAGGAAAGCGAGCTTCACCAGCCCAGATGATTCCAAAGGAGTCGTGGGGCTGGGCGGGGAAGTCAGAGGCACTTTCCTGAAGAATAGAGCCCATAGTGTCTGCGCTGCAACACTGCTCCCCTTCTGTCCGTCTGTCTGTAGCTCTTTGTTATGTCAACATCTGTAGCTGTGAGTAAATAGCAGCAGGGCAGAATGCAGCTTGTGCTGCCGCAGCGCCGGCTGGGCGCGGGCCAGGGCCCGGCGGGGACTGTGCCGCCTCTGTCTGCGCCCGGCAAAGGCACCCAGAGGGCTCCCAAACCCCTCGGGTGGGATGAATGGGATTGCTTGGTGCTCCATTGACTGTGCAATCCGGAACAGCCTCTAGCAGCCCTGGGCAGAGGCTGGGTTGCTGCAGCCTCAGCACCTGAGGCTGTGAGTGTGGCAGGGCACGAGTGTGGCAGGGCATGAGTGCTCATCTAGGTAGTCTGTGAAAAACATCCCTGTATTCTCTTGTCAGCTCCCATCAGGAATCTTTTGGGCTCTGCTGATTCTTATTTATAAAAATTGTAAATATTTGTGGTTGTATAAATGCTCGGAACTATTAGGAGGAGTCATTTTACCAGTAAGGACTGTGCAGTCCTACTCTGCCTGCCCGGTGCCCCCTGCTCTCAGCCAGCTGTGGGCAGAGGGGCTGTGGAGCTGTGTCGGAGCGAAGGAGAGCTCTGTGGAACCAGGCAGTGAGGGAAGGGGGCTGCCTCCATCTGCAACCTGCTTGTAGCGAGGCAGGAAGCCAAAGGCAGAGGGTCAGGGGCTGTAGGGGGGAGCTGCTGGGAGGGGCTCTCACGGGCCCCAGAGGTGCCGAGTGGGAGATGGACAGCGAGGGGCTCGCTGGCTTGGTGGCTCCCAGGGACCCCCAGTTGTCACCAGCTGCAGGAGGGACACAGTGCAGGAAGATGTCTTCCCTGAGCACTCTGCTGAGCACCTGGAGCAGCCACACAGTGCTGGGTTCCTGGGGCATTTCCCTGCTCAGGGAGCTGCTAATGAGCAGGTGATCAGCTGTGTCAGTGCAAACTCAGAGCTCTTTCCACAGGAGAAATAAGGTCACAGGTACTTGCCAAGGAACTGTGTTGTGAACTATTAGTTACACTGCAAAAGTAAACTTTGGAAGCTGTGCTTTGTCTCTCTTCTCCATTGGCTACTGTTGTATCTGGAATCAAAAAGCTGTTTTCCCTGGAGCTGTTTCTGGCAGCCCTGGCCTCTTCTGGGCAGGGCTGCTTTCCCTGGTCCTGCTGTGTCAGAGCTGTTCTGCTTTCCAGGCTCAGTGTATCTCCTGTGGAAGTTCACCTTCCAGGTGGGTTTGTGTGCTTGCAGCATCTCAAGGCCGTTGGACAACCCCACTGTGGCACGAGGTGCTGTGCAGGTGAGTGGTGGGAGCCAGTGGATCCCTGAGTGCTGAGGAATGCGTTGGGCAAAGGGCAGGCAGGATCCCAGGGACCTGTCCAGGGCCAGGCAGCAGTTCTGGGCATGGAAAAGGGCTGGAGCTGGGGTGAAACATGCTCGGATCAAGTTTTGGTTAGACTTGGTGTCAGACTGTGTCCTGGAGCTGCCTTTGAACAGAAGCACAGTGCCAGTGGCTGGGAGGCTGCTGAGGTGAGCAGCTTGTGCCACACACCGAAGGGCACGTTTGCACCACAGCTCACGGAGGCTGGATCAGCTGTGCCACCATGGAGGCACATGTCTGTGCATCCACACGGCTCTCCTGCCTGGCAGGTGGGAGCTCTGGGGTCCCTCAGTGCTGCTGGAGAGGTGGGTGTCAGCCTGAAGGAGATGTGGCTGGGTAAATATGCTCATGTTCTACTGTTTACAGAACACTTAATTATTTTTGATAGGTAATTAGTGTTCTGTGTTTTGATGTTTTTACATCGATCTGATACGTGCTACCAGAGACTGTACACATGGAGTAGGGTGTTCTTCACTTGGTCAGGACCTTCACCTGTCTTTGTTCTGGTGGGTTCAGAGATGCTGCGCCAGGCCCACCAACCATTCTCTTGGTTCCAGCTGATTTTTTTCTTCCTTTGGAGTCTTGACAGTAGATTTTGCTTCCATTGAGCAATAAGGGGAAGACTTAAAAGCACAGAGGACTGTAAGGAATCTCATTGCACTGGAAGGCTGGGTGCCTAATTGCCCTTTGTGCCATTAAAAAAAATCTCTCCATATGCGTTTTGTTTTGTTTGTGAGCTTTTCCCTCCCCACACGGGCAAAAATCGATTGATCAATGTTTGTTACAAAGTTACGAACAAACGTCTCCGGGCTCTTTGCTGCATTGATGTCTCGCAGTGTGTTCTCCTTGCTAACAAAATTAGTTGCAAAGTCAGCAGGAGGTTGGGAGAACAGAGCATGGGGTTTGTTTGCATAGCACACAGCCTGGCTGCTGCTTGAATAACAAACCCTGCCTCGCGCACACATCTGACCACGGCGCCGGGGCTGGGTTCTGTTTTAGGAATTGTTGTTTGAATAAAAGGTCATTTACTGCCGTACTGAGGGGAAAAACAACGGCATAAATGTACAGTGGTGTGCAGCACACTGGGGGTTTTCAGTGGGGCACAAAGGGGGTGGTGTGTGGGAGCTGTAAACAGCCCGCGGGCACAACCACGTGTGAGAGGGGCTGGGGGTGCCAGCTGGGGGAGCGGGGGGCTCACACCTCCGTGGGGCACAGTGCCAGAGAGCTGGGTGTGTGGGGCTCACACCTCCGTGGGGCACAGTGCCACAGAGGTGGGTGTGTGGGGCTCACACCTCCGTGGGGCACAGTGCCACAGAGGTGGGTGTGTGGGGCTCACACCTCCGTGGGGCACAGTGCCACAGAGGTGGGTGTGTGGGGCTCACACCTCCG